ATAGGATTTATTCACTCCATCACAAATATTTAGTTACACATTGTCGGGTATTGCCTAGTGAGTTGTAAGATTCTCTGACTTCGTGCTATCAAGAGATGTGTACCCAGGGTATTATATGGAGTCCCAGATTTGAATATAACGTTGAGTTATTCAAACTGCAGGCCCATTTAACTTTCTGTGTTATTTATCGGAATCTTAATAATAATTGAATCAATCCATGCGATCAGGAGCCGTATAAGAATGCTACATCGAGTCTAAAGTGCATGGTAATCCAATTCGTTGTCGGCGGAACGAAAAAAAAATGTCGCACAAATCAAGCAGGAAATAGGTAAAGTCTTTAGATTGCCGAACTAATTATTATTTCCATGTTTCTTTTACCATTTATATTGGAGACATTAACTACGAGGGCATACTCATTAGTGCGCTGACTACCTTACATCATAATAAATCGTTTTCTTTACATTTACACAATTACGTAAGCTTGTAATACACAAGCGTCTGTAATGGGAAAAAATCCACGCCGCCATTGTTATCGTTTATGCGTGGGTGAGATAGTACCCTCAGGAGCGTAGCAATGTGAAAGTTAAAACATCACACTTAGATCACGAGAACATGCTATTTTTATTTGCACGGATCAGCCTTGTTGCATCCATGGGCGACTTCTTAGAACTGTTGTACGGAAATTATGAAAATACAAACACGGAGGGGTATTAATTACATCACTAGTCCTCGGTTTCACTTTAGTGTATGTTGAACTGTATGAGTAAAATGTCAGCCATCTTGTGCGTGTATATGTAGGGTTTCATTGCTAGAATAGGGTTATCTCGAGAACTAAATTCAATTTTGTATTTATATCTCTAAGACGTTTTCAGTGTGTAATCACCAACACATATAAACTAAAGCAATTACATCGATTACTAGATATTTAACCTAACATGTACGTTTTAAAAAGTGTGCTACGTTGAATATTAATTTCACAATCACCATGCCCCCATGTAATATATGCGAGTTATCGAAAAAGATGATTTGCGATTAAATGAATACATTTTGTGTATTACTTTCCTTCAGTTAATGCATGGGTTATATGAACACAAAATACTGAGGTTTATTGAGGATCAAATGTAACCGAACCCAAGTATAAAACGTAACGGCTTGGAGGCGATCAAGGATAATACCTCAAACAACGAATTACGTGCCATTAGCCACTGTCGCTCCTCTTTGATATACGGCCTGCCTTCTTATCGAGTATCGTTGTTAGGATATGGCATTAATTTGAAAGCCATATGGACTAATGAATTCCTTGTTACTCGGGTGGCATTTGTCGAAAGGTCGGCAGTTTAATATGTTACACAAGGGCAACTGCGTTATTCACATGTAGGGTGTGCCTCGATTATTTGTACATTCTCAGCGTTTTCGTATTATCGTACAATAAAGACACCCGATTCAATTTCACACAGTCAGACTACCTATACAGATCACAAGCCGATCACGGGCATCTAGTGAATGCATGTAAACGAGGAGAAATTACTTGTAATGAGTGTAGTTAGTCAGGTGAGTCAAAAGGCCTTGGTTGATTCCTCGGCGCATATGGCAACCACCATTTACGATGCCTTTATTTTATTGAAGTAATGAAATATTAACATAATATAATGAATCTGACATTGGCACATAATCTTACTGACTGTTGCCTATGTGTGACAAGATCAGATATATACATAAATAAGACAAATACCCACTAATGGACAATTGGTGGAAATACAGAAACGTAATATCTTTGCGTTTCCAACAAATCTATGCATGTGATCATAAATAATAATTTCGACAAATGGACATAATGGTAGTGTGTGTGATAATTGTTTTACATTATACATGCCAATATATAAAACACTGCGACGCTGACGTCAACAAATGTGCCTCGAACTGTATTGCGCATGGCATTTAAAAAAAAACAAGTACGCAAGAATAATCTAGTCAATTATTATTATCGATGTAAACTCATTGTAAATGTTGTAAACTAATTCTGCAAATGGTTATAACTAATAGTTTGGGTTGTGAATGCTCGTATATTTGATTACGCCTTTTAAACTGGGATATTTAATCAATGGAGGAACAGACTCAATAGTCATATCGATAGCACAGTTACGAAGTAGGGTCATGAATTATACTGAGGTGAATTAACTAGATATGTTACGAGGTTATGGATCGACACAGTGATTAAAATACTCCTAGCTAGTTAATTGGTTTGGTACTATGGTTTGGAAAATTTAACCTAAATATGTGGAGTGTGGGGTGTCAGTTGCACCCTAATTAGACTTTTGACATCGATCTAGAAGAATGAAGAAAATAATCTTAACGTCTCTGCAAATATGAAAAGCATTTAGACTTGCACATGACATTCCCCCATAAAGACAACGCTTTTTTTAACAGAAATTCGCTAGCTCAAAGAAAGTCAAGTTAGAAAATAAAACAAAGTAAAATAAATGTTAGTAGTCCACTGTAATGCTTTAAAACTAATACCAACTGAAAAGTGGTTCGTGTTATTACCTGTATTACCCAAAGTCATTCATATTTGTACTTTGCTGAGGTAAATTGGTAAATTATTTTGTAATTTGCAATACACCGTGTCAGTGATGGTTGTTAGGCAGTGTATTTGTAGATAAACATTCGGATATAGATGACCTGTAACAAATGAAAGTTTTAGAGGTGGTCACTCAATTTTGATGATTAGAGTAGTTTTCAAGCAGCCAGCTTTGTGATATAGCTCAAGTTATCAGAACAAACAAGAAAAAAACGGACCCAGTTATCAAGTAGTCAGAATATGCATTAAACTAATTATGTACTCATACACGTGTGGTTAGTAAAACCCTATAAAATCTGACCATTTAAACGAAGCCCTTGATTACGTAAGAGGGCTTGTAGGAGAAGTATGTGAGTGAACCTTTTCTATGGGGGTCAGACAGGGTTGTAGTAATCTCATAAATTCTGTATAAAAAGCTTATAACTATTATCCGAAAAAGTGTGATCCTTTTACCACAAGACAACCTAAATAAGTACCTGAATTATCATATAACCATTTTGTTATATTATTTTTGCGAGGATGCTAATTAATTAACAGACAAACGAAAACATACTCGCTTCAGATTCACGGACAGACGGTCAAAAATAAACTCGGGAACACAGCGTGTATATGCTACGTAAACCACCATGTATGTCATCCAGTTGTCATCTAATATTAACTGGCTTCCCATCCTTCTGCCAGCAGGGATATGTATTCATTGCTCAAACGAATGAAACCGACATTGGTTTAATCGTATGCACCAATTGGCGAACCGTGCAACTGGAACAAGACGTGCCTGATAGAGGAAATCGTGAGTTCTACCCTCACAGTACTTTCATGAATTTCATGCACCAGGGCTATCAATGTCAATCACTGACTTTCTAAAAATAGCATGGCGATCCAGCTATGTGCTGTTCTGCATATAATTAAACCGCTGCCACCAATAGATCCTATCGCTCGTCGCAATTAGGCGTTGCAATTACGTCCAACTCGTCGCCCTGTTAAAGTTAAAAAGTTAAAAAGATAGAAGACGAATTTTTGGGCATGGAAAATGATGAACAAGATATATTTACACGCGTCACAACGCTGAGCTGTTAAACATTTTTACAAATAATTAAGAATTTGTTCATACATTCGATGTCTTCTCAATAAATATCTAGAACAAAATGCAACAACTTGCTTTCTCTCAATTCTCTACATTCTATGAATACAACTTCCACTTTCGATTTTCTTTTCTTTGAAGTTGTTTTCCAACACACCTGTAGTCAATAATTGTTTGAATCCTGCCGTGCAATTAAGAGATATGGTTTGAGACTTTAAACATTTAGGCTTTTATTCTGAGTAATTATAACTAAGTCGTTATGTTTGAAGTACATATTCACCCCACAACGGTGTGTCTCTCAGGCTTAGTTATATTGGGTGTGCTGTAATTTATGTTATTTAATAGAAAGATAGGAACGTCACATCATCTCTACCTTAATGACTATAGTATTTTCAATGTTGGAATGCATATATTACTCATAGACAACTCTGAGAATCGGCGACAAGCGGATTCCATGGGTAACCACAGCCATATCTTGTTCACCGGGTTCTAAGGAAAAGCCATCATACAACTGCAATGGATATTTATTTATTTTATTGCTCCCCTTTTTTAACAGGGGCTCACTATGTAAATTAGGAGCTGCACCAAATTAAAAAAGAAACATTTCACTCAGAGACTAATGAAAACAATTTTGATAGACAAAAAGAAACTAAGTTACATGAACTAAGATAACAAAATATAACAACAACAAAAACATCTAAAAGTAGCAAAATAATATGAAAACTAAAATATAAAAAGTAAACTGGAAAAATATTAAATAATATCTGTATACTTCTTTCTACTCTCCATGGCATCAACTAAGAACTTTTTTGTAAAAGTATCAAGTTCGTCACACAGGACTGAATTATACTGCTTGTACTGTCACCCAGGATTAAACATAGCACTTCTTTGTTTGCTATGAAGTCTTTATGTAAATTTATTTCACTTTTGTTACACAGGAGCATTGTGCTGAGAAACATTCACAATGTTATATGAAATGCTCAAGTGTTTCAGGTTCCTTTTTGCAACATGGACAGATACAATCATTGTTATCCAAGTTTGCCCATTTCCTTTTCTCATATGCCAAACCAAGAGTGCAGGGTCTTCTTGCCTTGAATTTTAATTGGGTGCCCTTTGATTTGGACAAAGAATTTAAATATTTCTCACAATATTTTTAATTTGTTTTAAATTTTCTATAATGAACGAGACTTGATTTCTCTGTCATTTTTTGTTTCCATTGAATCTCGTCACTGTTTACAATAAATTTTTTTGGATATTAAATCTTATTCTATGGCCTGATGTCGGTTTCTAACATCTTATCTTATCTCATCTTATTTTATCTTTTCCCATCTTATCTTATAGGTATCTGTGCAAGCGACATGTGCTACTTTAACCGCCATGACAGTCGATCGTCATTTCCTGATTGTCCATGCAGTACGTTCACGGAACGCCACAATTCGTAAACCCATGATGGCGATGATGATAAGCGTATTTATATGGATAGGTATGTCACACAACTTACATGTCCTGTAAGCACAACTCTTTTTTTTATCAGTGAAACGGAATTCTGGTTTGAATATGTGAAGATGAACTTACTTACATTATGGTAAACATCAACAATACTTGTTTGTTTCTATCGTACACATTTCCAGACACACCCTCTGGCAACAAAACCTTTCTGCTGACGTAGATGTTATAAATGAAGGTCGTTTAATGCGTCGCTCATCAGTAAATAACTAATGTTTTTTTATATTTTCAATGGCTATCCGCTATACAACCAAACAATACTGCCGGCACAAAAAAACATTGCCTTCATTAATTGTCTACGTCTTTGAAGCGTCTCGTCCCTGGGAGTGAGGAAAGATGCATATAATCAATATTTGTTTTGCGACCCAATTTATTTGTTTCCATTTACAATCGATCCTGAAAAAAAAAACTTACATCATTTATATTTTTGAGTAGCTTCTTAACAGATGGTATTGATTTCTATAAATACATAAATAAGTCTAGCATTGATTTTCATCTGTATTTTATCTACACTTGACAGGCGCTTTCCTACTACACGTGCCGGTAGCCATATACACAAGACAAGTGATTGATAGCGATGGTGAGCCGTACTGCCGAAGAATCTTTCCTGATGCATTGGCACACAAGATGTATGAAGTGTATTCGTTCATTGTGATGTATATTCTACCACTGGTCATCATCACCGTCTGCTACACTATGATACTGCAGCAGGTATGGCGACGTACTTCAAGTGGCACCGAGAGTGCCCAGGCGATTGAACGTTCCATACGCCGTAAGAGGAAAATCACCCGAATGGTGCTGATTGTTGTTGTACTCTTTGCTATCTGTTGGGGCCCACTACAGATTATGAACCAGTGGATGATACTCGACGTGAAATACCCATACGAATCACATCCAGTGTATCACTTTCGTATCTTCTGCCTGTGTCTAGCCTACACCAACTCTTGCGTCAATCCGTTTGTCTACGCGTTCACCACAAACAGTTTTCGGAAGTATTTCAAGAGGCTGTTCTCGGCTTGTTGCCCACATGGTAATGGATTTACTCACACTAGTGTTACAAAATCTACTAGAATGTCGGACAAAATGTCTCGTACAGAAGATTCTGTATCCATGTAAAAAAAAAATGTCTTCGAGGATAATATGGCAAAAGCCAGAGAGTTGTGTATATAGAATGTAGATATAACATTATCATTTGACAGACAACTTTCAGAATGTAATAATTATAATAGTAATAACAATTACAATTACACAGTACGTGATTCATGCCATATTTTCTGCTACAATTTAGGCCGTATACAAGCACCTAGTGTAACTTCGAGATCCCGACTGACTCAACAGTCCTTGAACCAATCCTTGAATTCGGACGAATGACGGGACTTACTGGACAATTCACTAACTGGACAACAAATGAACGACTAAAAAGAAACATTTAAGGACGGAAGATGTGACCATCATTGGATCCACTCTCATCTGTGCATGAAACCCTTTACTTGAATGTGATACGTAAGTGAACAAGGACATTATAACCAAATATTCCTCCCTACAATATACCGTAGAGAACGGAGCGAATTCCATTCCCGTTCTTAATGGACGTGACTCTTAAATCACTCTACTGTTCCGTAACCTTGCACTGTATTGTGTGATTGTTTCGAAGAGGAAGATAAACTATTGGATTCTGTTTACAGAGTAATGTTAGATTATATATCCTCTTACTGATGAGTTTCAATCGAACAGGGTTGATTGTATTGCATAATCGTGGTAATCACTGCACTGACTGTACCGAATGGCTAATGTGAGTGCATTCTCGGCAGTTGGTATTTATGCGGATATGAATTACACAGACGACTGGATGAGTGTCATTTAGCACTTTTATTTTATTTTGTCTAATACGTCTTGTACTCGCACGATCATGTGTTTATTAGGTTTACCTGTTTACACTAGTACAATGATTTTTATAATAGCACTTCATTGTAACATCTCACTGAATTCAGCACTATCCTCACCGCACTGTTATTTGCCATCCTGTGAACTTACCACCCGGAGATTTATACACGCACACAACTCCGAATAATTACCATGGAAATGTCACGTAAACCACCGTATATTAAACATGATGTTTTTTTCCTTTTTAATTTGCGTTCGGTAATTTTTTAGGACGATTAAATTTGCGGAGCTCCGCATCTTCGCATGAATCGGTGGAAGATGTGGGTGTTGGTTTATTAGTAGATTCGTTTAGGTTGCATCCTGGCCAGGTTTAAGATGCCCGCCCCCTACTTCGCGCACATAACACAATAGCTTCTGCTATTGAAATTCCGCTGAAGGACGTGGTAATTGGAAATGTGAGGCGTAGTAAACATGTTATTGCACAAATCTGATCTCCCAGACTCACGATTTTGGCTGTTATCTACCACGAACTTGTGACTGCGAGCAGTCGTCTCTGCGTCGTCTTTAATGTGAGTCCCATGTAACGTATGCAGCGCCCAGACGCTATAGTAGCAAGTATCTCGCAGTCAGTCAGCACAAGACGGCACGGGCTTGTCACTACAATCACCTTACTGTGTTTGTGGATTATTCGCTGAATTATCGTTATGGAAAACAATGTACGGCGCATCAAACGCTGGCGATAAGTGTTTAGTTTCGCTATGAGAACATATTACGAATCCACACGAACATATGGGCATTTTTGTACGAAAACACACTATACCGCATGCCAATTTTACATTACCACATGAAACAATATGAACAAAATTGTGTATTATTGTATGGGAATTCTGTGAACAAAGTTGTACATTGCTGTATGGAAACACTGAACAAAGTTGTATGAACATATGTACATGGCGTACATATGTTGAATATTAATGAAACTTGGAATGTACATACGATGTAAGTTATAGTAAGGGGACGGTATGAACACACTGCACATTACTGCATTTGTAAAAATGTATGAAGAGAAGGTGCGCGTTACTGTATTGTAACAGTGGACATAGAAAGTATGTTACTGTCTGAGAACACGATGTATGTTGCTGTATTCATACAGCCCGTGCTAAATGCATTGTACGTTATTTAAATACATGCCATTTACGCCGATATTTGCCCGGGTAATGTGAACGTTGTCGTTGACAGGTCCAGTAATTCAACGTGTTGTAACAGCAATTTACACATGGAGATTGATGAGCACGTTTCACTATGATGTCACATTACTTATTTGTTCAAACAATAATACAAAGCCACATTAAAGTCCCCGCAATCCCACATAAATAATGTAAAGAATAATACTTCTACTGCTGACAGAAGCCTGTGTTTGACATTTAACGAAAGTGTATCTTTTCACGGATGCCTCGAGGGGCTTATTTTCGCTGAATAATAGTAGCAGTTAACTCATGGACATGTAACACAAAGTTATGGTACGCATATCTCCAAAAAAGATCGGTATTGCCTCAACAATATATCGTACAATACAATACAGGACAACAATAAATGAAATCTACTAGTCTTACCAAACTGCTTTATAAATATATACATTATATATCATAAACGAGTAAATTAATCTATATTTTTTGTGTATTTTACAATTTTGCAGCGTCGATTAATTCAATATGCAAATTTAAACAAAGCGTGGTATGTTTACTTTAATGAAGCATGTGTGTATAATGTAATAACGTCATGAAAGCGAATACGGCTCTATGAAATAAACATAATACTCACTCGTTTAATTAATTATTTAGACGGGCAGTAGGGGTCACTGCAAATGAAATTAACCAGCTGATTGAACATCCCCTTAATTACGGTCACAAGCGTAGATTTAACATTTGTTAAATCATATGAACATTTATCAGAAATAAACAGACCGTGTCGCGCCATTTTGGTGACTGTGGCGAGTAACCATGATCCATATACAGACAAAATGAATGCTGCTGGCGATCACCACAAACAATTTTAACTAACAGTTTTATTTATTTTTTGGTAAAATGAGCTCTCAAAAGCACAAAGTGTTGTGCACTGCACACCGTCTCCAACAACCTGTATGATAAAACATTGCGGTTCATCATAATTTAAATTCAAGTAATATGTGGATAGATAAATAAACGTATTTTTAGAGTGAGGGCGCAATCGCGGGAATAATAAGATTGGCGGCAATCATCATTGTTTGGAATATTCCATACTATATACTATACTACATTGACATGCATTAAAGTAACTAACTAGATTAACATTTCGAAATCTTCGTTTTTACAAAAAGTGAAACCTTCCGTACTGCGATATTTGACATTTGTAAAACAGGTTCAGATGTTGAAATAAAAGGTGATTTTGGGTACAAGTTCTGGGGGGAAAATACATATGACTTTGGAAACCAGAAGGTTTTATTTGTTCCTGTTTACTTCTTTCATCTGTAAAGCAACGCGAACATGTTTCATCTGTACAGCAATGTCATTGTTAGCATGTTTCATCAATACAGTAATGTCACTGTTAACATGTTTCATCTATACAGTAATGTCACTGTTAACATGTTTAATCTGTACAGTAATGTCACTGTTAACATGTTTCATCTGTACAGCAATGTCACTGTTAACATGTTTCATCTATACAGTAATGTCATTGTTAGCATGTTTCATCTGTACAGCAATGTCACTGTTAACATGTTTCATCTATACAGTAATGTCACTGTTAACATGTTTCATCTGTACAGCAATGTCACTGTTAACATGTTTCATCTATACAGTAATGTCATTGTTAGCATGTTTCATCTGTACAGCAATGTCACTGTTAACATGTTTCATCTGTACAGTAATGTCGCTGTTAACATGTTTAATCTGTAAGTACTGTCACTGTTAACATGTTTCATCTGTACAGTAATGTCACTATTAACATGTTTCATCTGTACAGCAATGTCACTGTTAACATGTTTCATCTGTACAGTAATGTCACTGTTAACATGTTTCATCTGTACAGTAATGTCACTGTTAACATGTTTCATCTGTACAGTAATGTTACTGTTAACATGTTTCATCTGTACAGCAATGTCACTGTTAACATGTTTAATCTGTACAGTAATGTCACTGTTAACATGTTTCATTTGTACAGTAATGTCACTGTTAACATGTTTAATGTGTACAGTAATGCCACTGTTAACATGTTTAATCTGTTCAGTAATGTCACTGTTAACATGTTTAAACTGTACAGCAATGTCACTATTAACGTGTTAATCCGTATATCAATGTCACTGTTAACATGTTTTATCTGTACAGGAATGTCACTGTTAACATGTTTAATCTGTGATGTAATCTGTGATGTAACTGTTAATATGTTTAATCTGTACAGCAATGTCACTGTTTATATATTTAATCTATATAGTAATGTCACTGTTAACATGTTTAAACTGTACAGCAATGCCACTATTAACGTGTGAATCTGTATAGCAATGTCACTGTTAACATGTTTAATCTGTATAGCAATGTCACTGTTAACATGTTTAATCTGTACAGGATTGTCACTGTTAACATGATTAATCTGTGCAGCAATGTCAGTGTTAACATGTTTAATCTGTACAGTAATGTCACTGTTAACATGTTTAATCTGTACAGCAATGTCACTGTTAACATGTTTCATCTATACAGTAATGTCACTGTTAACATGTTCCATCTAAACAGCAATGTCACTGTTAACATGTTCCATCTGTATAGCTATATCGCTGTTGACATGTTAAAAACGTTTAGCAATGTATTGTTTAACATATTCTATGTGCTTCAATCTGATCGTTATCTTACAAGCCCGCATGTTTCTGTGTGAATGCTAACATATGCCAGCAGTGTGTCAATGTGATTGCTAACGTGGGCAAGGAATGTCCCTATATGAATGTTATCCTATTGCAGCAGTGCTAGAAACATGTGCCAGCAGTGTGCCAATATTCCTGTTAACGTGTGCTTGTAATGTGGCAATGTTTAATGTGGCAATTATAAGGTGGCAATGTGTAGTGTGGCAATGTGTAATGTGGCTATGTGTGATGTGGCAATGTGTAATGTGGAAATGTGTAACGTGGTTATGTGTGATGTGGCAATGTGTAATGTGGCAATATGTAATGTGGCGATGTGTAACGTGGCGATGTGACAGTTAATAGT